CTATCCTAGAATTTAAACCTCTTCAGAACCCATGCATATACACCTTAGCAAGAAGTAATTCCTGACCTGACAGAAGCTATGTTTCCGCTAAAATAGTCCAGATCATTTCTGCCTTCAGATACTTGGGTTTATTCAAATACACATGCAATGTGTTCAGTTATCAACCTCCTCTCACAGAGACGCCTTCGCTGCTGATGTAGCTCCTTGTCCAAACATTTACAAAAGCCATTCTGCTTCACTCAGAAGGGCCTCAGAGGCTGACGCTTGCTAAGGATTTATGGGAAAAGCCACCCTTCGACTTTAACTATCAGATGTTGCTCCTAGCACTTTCTCTCCATCTTGAATCTTGATTCATGGTTTCAAAATTATGGTCTCAATGAAGATAGTAAGCCTGTTAGGAGAGAATAAGCAATATAATAATATTAATATTATAATTATAATAATATAGTAATAGCCGGGGGAGATTCAGCTTCTGTAGAATTTAAATATACGGGGTGGATAATACTACTTTCTCATTGCTTTGATAAATCACCCTGACAAAGGCAATAGAAAGGAAAAAGAATTTATTGATCTCGCAATTGCTGATCACAGTGACTCTAGGCAGGGAAATCAAGGCAATGGGTTCTTGAGGGAACTAGTCCCATTTGGTTTGCAGTCAAAACTAAAGCCCAGTGGTAACTACAGCATGCTCTCTTTCTTAAACAGTCCAGGATCCTCTGATACAGTTAAGGCAAACATTCCCACATAAATCAATGTGTTCAGTACAATCACTCTCACACGGGCATGCTCAGAAGCCCATCTCCTACAGTTCTAGGTGTTTTCAAGTTTACAGTTGTCACTACCCATCACAACACTGTACTTAGCAGTTGACACCCAAAGACATCATTCTTAAGCCATAGTCCTCCTTCCCTCATCCATAATATCATGTTCCTCTCATCATATAAAACACAACTCAAGTTTGAAAGTCCACATAGTCATTAACAGTTACAACACTTAAAAACTCAAAGCCCCAGCCAGGTTGTGGTGGCACATGCCTTTAATCCTAGCACTTAGAGACAGGGGCAGGTGGATTCCTTTGAGTTCTGGGCCAGCCTTGTTTACAAAGTGAGTTCCAGGACAGCTAGGCCTGTTACACAGAGAAACCCTGTCCTGAAAAACCAAATAGGTAGAAACCAAAAAGAAACAAACTAACGGATAAAACCCAAAGGCCCTCAACTGTGAGTTTCTATAACATCACAAACAAGTTCTGTGCTTCCAATATTTCGTGACACAGAGTAAACATCCCTATTCACAAAGGTAAAAATCTAGGAATAGTCAAACCACAGTAAAGCCAAAATCCAGTAAGAAAAGGAAAAGAAAAAAACACCCCTTTACCACCCCATTTCCAGTATCCATCTGTGTAGAGTGTAATCTTCCTTGCCAGTCACTTGGGCCATGTCACGCTGTCTGAACCCCCAAATAACACACAGGATGCTATATTAATTATAAAGCTGTTGGCCGTTTGCTTGGTTTCTTACTGGCTATCTCTGACTTAAGTATTTAATCCATAATTGTCAATATAAGTATTTCTCTCACCGGAGAAAAGGGTCTGGGCCTCTTACTCCTATGGCAGCTACATCATGTCTGACTCTGCCTCTCTTTCCCAGAATCCTCCTTGACTCCTAGTCCCACCTATCTTGCTTCCCTATTGGCCAACAGTGCTTTATTCAACAACCAATAAGAGACAGGTTACAGAACTACATCTCCCATCACATCTGGGCTTCATAATGGAATTTCCTGGGTCTGGCCCTTCTGTTAAACTGCCTTCATCACACGTAGTGTCTGGGCTCTACCTGTCTTTACTACGTAACACGTGGCCCTGGCATCTTGAATACTCCAGTCATCTTGCTGTTGCAGCTTAGACTGCACCGTCCCAACTCTGCTTCAAAGCCTCTTAGAGCCTCTTCACAGCAATCCCAGCCCTGCCACGTGGTGACTGCCATTGCCCATTCCCCATGGCCACCTCAGTCCTTCATCGTTGAGGTTTTTGAAGCCACTACCGTGTGAACAATGCTGTCCAGCTCTTCTGCCAGCTCAATGACTTTATCCTGCTTGGACCGGAGCTCTGTCAACTTCCCCAAACTCCCTCTAAAGAAACACTTCCTTTCCTGTTGTCTACTGCAGAGCACCGGGCTTGTCTTTGACGGTGTTAATCTCACTAACAGTTACAGCTTTTTGTTGTCTGCTCTGCTTGTCGGAACCTTTAAGCTCACTGGCACAGCTTCCCATTACAAAACAAATTAGTCCTTTATCTTTAAACTCAGCCCTAACCAAGTTCTCAGGACAAGGCAGAAGGAAGCCAGATCCCTCATGAAAATGACGCATAACGACCCTAACCCAGTTACAGATATAATCCTTTTTCTCCTCTGAACCCCCAGGAGCTGTACCTGCACTGTCCACATTTCTCTCAGCAACACTGTCTTCCAAGTTCCCATCAGAAGAGCCCATTACATTCTGCATCACACACTAATGGCTTTTCCAGCCCAAAGCTTCAAAACTCTTCCCGTTCCTCCAAGAAAACAACCACCAAAACTTTCAGATCAGAATAGGACAGCAACGGCCTCACTTCTAGATATCAACTTCCGTTTTAGTTTCTTTTCCTTTGCTGTGATAACATATTCCAGCAAAAGAAGCCATCAGTCCTCCTCTGGCTGTTGGATTTGTTTAGGTCAGGAGATCACACCCACTGGAGCCCTCCTTCCGAGTCACAGCAGGACAGCCGCACACTGAAGGAGGGGGGAGTGGCTTGGAGGTACAACCAGCCTCAAGGACTGTTGCCTGCAACTGATGACTGCTAAGGCCTGACTTTCCCTGACTAAGTCATCTTCCAGGTTTTTCCGTTGGTTTATTGAAGGGCTCTGGGTTGTTGCTGCCCTCCCCTCACGCCACCCAACCCCTTCTGAAGTGTTTGGTGTAATCAGAGTTTCCTTTTGGCCAGCAGCTCACAAGTAACAACGCAGAGACTAATTATGAAAGCTTGGCCTTTAGTTCAGACTTGTCTCAACTAGCTCTAATAACTTCTTGCATTAACCCATTTCTATTGATCCGTGTTCTGCCGTGAAGCTCATTATTTCATCTCCATGCAGTTCATCTGGCTTTCTCCCTGTCTGGCTGGGCTTTCTTCTTCCCAGAGTTCTCTCTCTGTCTAACCTTTACTCTTCTGCTAAGCTATTGGTCATTCAGCGTTTTGTTACACCAATTACAATACATCTTCACACACTTCACAAATATCCCACAACAATTTGGAGTTTTTCCCCTTGGCTTTTTATCTCCCTTTGTCTTTAGGTTAATGAAATTTGTATGCATGGATCTCATATTTCCACAGCTAGACCCAACCATTATTATTATTACTGTGTTTCCTATAGGGTCCGTTCTGTTATGCAACATGAAGATGCTGTCTGTAGCCTTGCTTTTCTAGAGTTGTGTTTCTCAGTGACTTCTTTAAGCATAACTAAATGGATTGGTTGGAGAGGGAAAAGAGAGAAAGAGAAAGAACGGATTTATTTAGCTCATATTTCCAAGTTGTAATCCTTCATGCAAGAAAGGTCACAGTGGCAGGAGCTTGAGGGAGCTTGTCACATTATGTGTGCAGTCAGAAGCAAAGACGAGGGAAATCACGTATGGTAGTCCTCAGCTAGCTTTCTCCACTTTTATACAGTCCAAGATCCTTCCGCATGTCAGTGCAGGCCAAGATCCCACCTGGGCCTTCCCACTTCAGTCAGTGTAATAAAGAGACTCCCTCATAGACATCCTCAGGGGTCTCTCCTCCCTCATAGACATCCTCAGGGGTCTCTTCTCCCTCATGGACATCCTCAGGGGTCTCTCCTCCCTCATGGACATCCTCAGGGGTCTCTCCTCCCTCATAGACATCCTCTGGGGTCTCTCCTCTCTCATAGACATCCTCTGGGGTCTCTCCTCTCTCATAGACATCCTCAGGGGTCTCTCCTCCCTCATAGACATCCTCAGGTGTCTCTCCTCCCTCATAGACATCCTCTGGGGTCTCTCCTCCCTCATGGACATCCTCAGGTCTCTCATGGACATCCTCAGGGGTCTCTCCTCCCTCATAGACATCCTCGGGGGTTTCTCAGATGATTCTACCTTCTGTCAAGTTAATAATTATTACTAACCATCAGAGTCACAAGTCACTAAAGCCCTTATTATGTATATTTTAAATGGATGTAAGGCCTCTCGTGCCCCGATAATAATTTTCTACAATACAAACAGTAGAGTTCAACCATGTTTCAAATATTATTTAGGATAAAACAAAATATTATTACTTTTATTCTGTATCATTGTTCTTCTTATTTCCTTCCTCCTCCTCTTCCTCCAGTTTTTTTCTAAAAACAATCAAATTCCAAAGAAATGAGGATAAAGCATGTCTCTACAAAGGTGTGGGAGATAGAGCCTTGTGCCCAGGCTAGCTCTGCCTTGTACTGCTTCATGTGATGGGTAATATGTTGTTCCTCCATGAGAAGAGCAAAACATATCAAGCCTGAACATAGGTCTAGCAAGGTGGAAAGAGTTCTAATTCAAAGAGAAGTGGCTACAGTAACAACTGGCTGGTCCCATGAAGAGGCATTGAATAAACAACTAGATGCATTTAAGATAATACAACACAGTTTTCTTATTGTAAATGAGTACTGTGCAACTTTAGAAAACAGAAAATACATGTCGAAGGTCGGTTAGTGTTTCAAGTAACTGTATCTGGGAAAAAGTTCTCAAAATCAAACCTTCATGGTGTGTGTGTGTGTGTGTGTGTGTGTGTGTGTGTGTGTGTGTGTTATACGATATAAATGTAAAGGAATCACATAATGTTGTATGACAGACATTTTTCTGGTGAGACACAAAATATACACACACACACACACACACACACACACACACACTCTCTCTCTCTCTCTCTACTTATTCTGTATAGGGAACCCCTGACAGACCAAAGCAAGGACACTCCGAAAGTTCAGTTCAGTGAACCAATGAGTTTTATTGGGTTTACTCCCAAGAATATGAAAGAGGGGTTACTTCCAGAAGCAGAAATTACTCAGACAGTTGAATCACCAAAGTCCACCCCAGCATGAGTGACAGTTCACAAAAGCGATACATCCGGAGCACGCTGCACAGCCTGCAGGCAGCTCAACAGGTTGGACAGCATTTTTCCCAGGGGGCCTAACCTCTTCTGGGCAACTCTCCTGGTTTCTGCTTCCCCCAGGCAGCTGATCTGCTCTCAGAATCTTCCTTGCTGTTTGGAGTGTCCTAGAATGAATCTCACTGGTCCTTTTTGTTATTGTTGTCTACTGAAACAAAAGGGAAAGAGAGGCCTAGAGCATCTGACAGTGTCTAAGACTTCCTATAGCTGTTCTGAGTGATTTACCCTCTGGTTTAAGGGTTTCTATGCAGGATGGAATGTCGGCATCTGGAGAAAACTACTGCACAACATAGAGACCGTAGGCACAAAGTTTACAGAATCACTGCAAGGGAACCTAGGGTAATCTCAGCGCATTTAGGCAAGGTTGTATTCAATTCAAACCATGGTAATCTGGAGCCAGAAAGATGGCTCATCAGGTAAAAGGAACTTGCCCGCCAGATGACCCGAGTTAGATTCCTAGGAAAGCACATCACAGAAGGAGAGAATGGACTCCTGCCAGCTGTCCTCTGCCCTCCATGTGAGGGTGGGGCACATGTATGACCATACACATACACAAATAATAAATGAAAGGTTGCCCAGGCTTTTCAGGAGCATGAAACTTACCACAGAGTCACACCACAAAGCAAGGTCTCCCTCCGGACATTTAAGAAGCCAGGACACAAATACTCATGGGGCTGGGAGCACTGCATGAAACATACTTCCAGAGTTAAGCAAATATCAGGGTCTCAGCCACTTCCCATTAGCCCAACAACAAATAAATTTTGAAAATTAGTTAAAAAATAATTATGGTCCTCTAAAGTATCTTTGAAAAGATAGACTTCATAAAAAATTCATATTGCAAGCGGAGAATGAATATCTTAGAACGAATTAAGAGCAATATAAATTGGCCAAAAAAATCATAATTTTTTCATTGAAAATAGATTCTTTTCTCATGCAATTCACCCTGACCACAGTTTCCCCTCCCTCCTCTCCTCTCAGCTCCCCCATCTCCCCTCTCCCCTAAATTCACTGCCCTTCTGTTTTCCTTGAGAAAAGAGCAAGCCTCCAGGGGATATCAACCAAACATTACAAAATACAAGAAGACTAGGCACAAACCCTCATTTCAAGGCTGGACGAGGCAACCCAATAAGAAGAGTCCCAAGGGCAGGCAAAGGAGTCAGAAACACACACTTTTCATCTGCAAAAACACAAAGCTACTTAATGAGATTGCTTAGTGAAACTACAAGGAGAGGCACTCAGTAAACCCTGCGGGAATGGCTTCCATTTCGAATGTCTCCCATATTCAAGTACCAGAAAATGTGTAGCACATTCAGAACTCTTCCACACCTCTCAGAGAAACATGAAATGACTTGGTTATGTTAACAATGAGTTCAGCAGATATCGTTAGTAGGACATATGCCTTTAGCTCCCATATATTTACCCAAGAAATTTATATGTCCAGTAAAGGACATATAACATGTTCATGGGAGCTTCATTTGAACACCCTAAAACTAGACAGAACTCATATATCCATCAGCAGAGCATCAATAAAGGGCAATATTGTCTTGTGTCACACATTTCCTTAGCAATGAAAACACTGACGTGTTAATATTGCATGCCACAGTGGATATGTCTCAGAATTGTTATGGTAAGTGATATACACAAGGCCACAAAACGTGTGTGTGCTTTATAACTGCATTAGTACAAGAGTTCAGACAGCACAGCTGATGTCATACAACACAGTCACGTCAATCATATCCCTCAAATTTAGCCAAATTCAGTCAGAAACCAGCCGTGAGAAAGAATTAGACAAACGCGCAATCGTAGGAATTACCCAAAACAAACGTGCCGCCAAAGGCTAGGGAAGCTCCTGGAAGGTAAAGAACGCAACCACAGAGTGCAGAGACATTCTGCTGATACGTTCTCTGGACGCGGTGTCATCAGACCGCTAGGAAATCTGAGCGGGATATGGGGATTGCATCAGAGTGAAGGGCTGAACTAAACTGCCAGCAGAAGGCTGTGACCAGCAGGTCACAGCATAGCAAGCCCTGGTCCCCAGTCCTGTTCCCGTCACAGAAGTATTAAAGACGGCTTGCTCAGCAGCAAACGGTGCATGTTAGGGTGGGGCTGCACGCTAGTAACTTTCTCTCAAATGCTTTAAGAAGGCGAAATGTAGAGGGAGCATACCTGCCATCTTTCCTGAAACTGAGGAGATACAGAAAGTCTAATTACTACATCAGCCCAAGTCTACCTGTATTAATCCTATGCAGCGTTCCAAGGTGTCTTTGCAGGAATGCCCGCCACGCAGACCGCAGACCACAGACCGCTTCACGACAACTTTGACTGCAGCAGGACTCGAATTATAAACCTAAAAGTATGGTGAAGATTTTTTTAGGTCATCTCCACTTTTCATTGTCAGTATCAACCTTCTGTTTGGCCCCCAACAGTCACCTTCTCCTGGTGTCTCCATGTCCCGTCCTTACCTTTCTGTTCTGTCAGCCTCGTCTCCTCCACAAGAGGCCTCTGTCTGCCTTTGGCTTTCACAGGCTCAGTAGAAAGCCAAGCTGTGTCTGCCTTGGTTCTCATTTGGATCAGACTCCTATGGGTCTCAAATCTACTCATGTAGAGAGCTGCGAAGTTCTGCACCCTTAAGATGGTGCTGGCTTCCGCCTTCTGCTAGCCCTATAGCAGGTGCTCTCTATCATAAACAACACCTGTATTTGGTTAAGGCTGGATATCAGGCTTGCTTCCGCATACGTGGACCTATCTGCATGTTCCACGTGGCATACTGGGGTTGGCCGCCCAGGGCTTTTAAGCTGTGGATTGGCGCTACCTGGGAGAAGAAGATTATTCAAGGCTTCCTGAATAAACTGCCTAAAGAAGAGTCTGCGCGTTGTGTCTTCCTTGCTGGTCGAGGCGGGCACGACATACTGTTGACAAGTCCCACAGAGAGACAGTCCACCCCATGACGTTCTGTTCTTGCCATGTGCGAACACAAGGGGGTTGAAGGAAAACCGACATCGAGCCTGCCTCCCTTTTGGCCTCTCATATTTTAGACGCCTTTGTTATATTTAAGACGTCCTTTTTTATTTTGGACTCCCCTCCTGTTGCTGCTCCTTACTAACACACATGAATGCCTCCTCGCCACTAGCAAAGATCTGAACTACGATTGTGACACGGGGGTCCTGGATAGCATTAAATCTGAACTAAAGGAATTTGGAACTAAGACCCTTGGTCCGATTTTTGTAAAAACACTTTTAATGATGCAACTATCCGTGTGTGCATGCACCCTTTGAGTGTATTTGTGTGTGTATGTGTGTGTGTGAACACATGGATATGTGCATGTAGGTGTGTGCACATGTGTATGTTCATTTTTCATGCATGTTCATTGCAAGCCTGTGTGTGCATGTGCATGTGTGTGCCAACATGAGTTCATGTGTATGTGTAAAAGCATGTGCATGTATAGGCACCTATATATTTGTGTGCGTGCACGTGTGTGTACATGTGTGTGCTTGTGTGTGTGTGCGTGTAAATGCAAGTGTGGGTGTCCGTGCACCCCAGGTGTGTATGTGTCTTAGAGTTTCTCAGAGTTTTAGAAAAAAAAATGAGGAAGGTAAATAGGCTTTTGGAGTTCACTTTATGCCTCCAAACACCTATTTCCGGTAGGAAGAGTCAAGTGAGGCAGAAGGACAGCCAAGGAAATCCTGAAAGCCTGGGGGGATGTCTTAAGCTACTAGTAACTGGGGTTAACATTCTGATTTCATTCCAGGCCTCTAAGTCTTCTTTCTTTCAGCTGAGCTGGTAACATTTCTACTGCGTGAAGCTCTGGTTTAATTAACAATCGCCTCCTACCAGCATGTATTGAGTACTGTCTTTTCTCCATATTATACTCCAAGCTCTGTCTCTGAACACTCTCTCCCCTGCCAAACAAATCATGAGGCTATTATAGTTAATGAACTTTCAACGAACATCCAAGGCATTCGGCGTGGACATGTAAGAACTTGATACTGGGTGGCAAGCCTTACCCCTTTCTTTTCTCCCCTGAGGAGCACGCTGTGCCTAATCACAGTTCTTCAGAACTTCTCAGGCCTCTGAATATTTCCCCACTGTTCAGGATTCGTAAGTTCTCACTTTTGTTTGGCTGGGGAAAGTTTGTTCCCCAAAATTACTGCTCCCTCTTTTCTGCCTCAAAAGTTACCAGTTAGATGAGGTCTTGGGCTTTCCATCACCAAAATAGGTCATTAGTATCTTCACTGGCCATCAAAAATCTACAACCTCTCCCTAAGAAACTCTTTCTTGTCTCCCTTACCTCCCAGCAAAAATTTGCAGTGGAGCAGCCTAATGTTATTTTCTTCCTTTTGGCATTTTAAAATGTTTGGAAATCTATGTCTATCTTCCCATTATATATTTTACAAGACCAGTGCTCTAACCCCTGAGCTATGGAACTCCATCGTATATTTTAATGAGACTATTTTTATAGTTTTAAAGGTTAGGAGATGGTGAGAAATTTTGATCTAGGATGAATCACAAAGAGAAATAATTATTTTCTGATTGAGTGAATGATACTTGCATGAGATCTTAAATTGAGTTAATATTATAACATGCTGAGACTTTGTAGATGTTACAGTGGGGGGAGTGAATTCTCCATGTGAAACGAATGTTAATACAGAGGATGCAGTGTGGATTAAAAAGAAAATCTTCTCTAACAGATATTCACATGGAATCTCTGGAAAGAATAACCATTATGATATTTGGAAATGAAGGCCTATTCAGGTATGGAAATTAAATATGCCAAAATAAGCAGATGATCATGCGTCATCTTGGTGGACCATAGAAATAGCACAAGTGTCAGTATGAGAGAAAAGCAGAGATGTGTTTGATGCACACAGCGAAGACACAAATACAGAAAGGAGAGTGTGATCTGAAAGCAGCCCCCAAGCCCAGAAACGTGAAGACAGTCACCAGAAGCTGAAGAGGCAAGGAACAGATGGTCCTTTGGTGTCCCAGAGAAAAAATGGCCACAAAGACTCCAAACTTCTAGCCTCCAGATGGAGAGACTAAATTCCCGTGTTGTTTTAGTTACTGAGTTTGTGGTAGTATTTTTTTTACAACAGTCTCAGAAAATGTAACATCTTTTTCTCCTTTGCAGCTGTGCCTACTTTATTGCCAGGAGCTACAGAACAGCCAAACATAGGAGTAGTAGTTATCAGCTTATGTTTATTCTTGACAAATAATAGAGGTTAGAACACTATAAATTATGCACAACTCTTCATATACAAAAGTATTATAAAAGCTAAATATAGATATATATTACAATATCCTATGGGGAGAGAGAAAACAATTACTTGGAATTAAACTCTTCTTAACATCATTAATTTACCTACTAGACAATAATCATCATTGAAAATATGAAAGTAGTTGAATTTACTCATATTTCTAAAGCTCAAATTGTTGTGGACATGTGCATTTGGTATTATTACTGACCACAGTATTTGAAAATATGACAGATCATTCATTAAATAAACCAGTTACTCATACTCTCCACTGTCACTTATAGTCTAGTTTGGATAACCAACTCAAAACAGATCAATCAATATCTGCTTCCAAACATGATCTATATAATTATATACAAAAAGAAATAAATAGATACATGGAAAAGGATGTTATTTTCATCCACCTTTTAATTTTTCTCAGTGTCTGCTTTCATGGATGTCAGCAGGGCAATGCCTACTCAAATAGAAATTATATTTCTCGACTCCTCTTGCAGCTATACTCAGCTCTCTCACCATGTTTCATGCCATCGAAACCACTCTTTCCCTCTATGGAACAACATAGACATGAAGTTTATGGGGTTGGTGATCATTGAAATAAAGCATATGTGTGCACCTGAAATATATCTTTAAGAAAGTGCCACATTGTCATGAGCACTTGCTTTCGTAATGTTATACAAGAGACAAAAATGCACATTTCACTTGAGACTCATAGTTCTGGATTGTTAATAGCATCTAAGCCTACCCTTAACCAAATAAATATTTTCTTATGCATAAGGATGGAAAACCTTCATGAGCAGAGAGCAAATAAATTAAGAAAGTTAGATTCCAGAGAGGCAATATAGAACACAACTGCACGACATCTCTTCTAGTTTCCCCACTTGGAAATAAACCCAAGATGTGAAAGAATACCATAGAGCAATTTCCTCCAAGATGAAGCATTTCATCTTGAAGGGAGACCTATTAAGACACAGAATGTTATAAAGGGAAGTAAAACATCCCATCCTGTAGGAAAGCTTGTTAAACTTGGGAAACAAACAACTCGGTCGTCTCAAGCAGTCCCTGAAACTGATTAGATTCACTTGGACACTCACTCCCCAACCTTACATAAGCAGAAAAGTTTGTGGAGAGACTGCCTGGAAGAGGCTCAGGCCACCTGAGCTGCCAGAAAAAAACACTTTCCAAACTACAGCTGTCTTTGAGGTATTTCAGCTCCTATAAGTAATTCCTCATGTATATTTCTGTAAGGAACCCCAATAAAATTCATCAGTTTACCAAGTTGGACTTTGATGTCATTGCTGCTTTAGTCTAGTAATGGCTTTGTATCTAGGGTGAGTAGATTTTCATTCATTTCTCCCCATTAATAATGAAACGTCATAAAAGGTAAGTACTTTTTTCACAGGAGATTTAAATAATTATAGATAAAAAGAGGGTATGAAGAAAAAGAAAAAAGAGAGACCAGAGTATACTAAGGGGTGACGTGTCTGCAAGTAGCAGGCTCTCCATCTCACTTGGGGAAACGTGTTAGAGCATTACTCAGATTATCTCCCTAAGATATGAGAGACTAAAGTATTTATAACCACACTCCAGAAAGTTCCTCTGAAGGTATTAAAGATCTGCCATTTCTGAGCTTCCCTATACAAGAGCTGAACGAGCCCTCAAACAGCAGAAAGAGAATCTTCTCATCTCACTGAGGATAAAGATGCAAGCATTAAATTTCTCAAGTTGACAATTATAAATATTCAAATTTATGGCTAGAAGCAGGAGGTGTTTTGGAAATGGACCATGTCTACTGCAGATGAAGTCAGAGGTAGACCAGAGAGATGACTATGTGGTAATGCATTCATAGGTCTGACACATTATCTGCATCCAAGGTCAAAATCCTGCTTCCATATCATACTACATGTGTTAAGCAAGGCAAACTGCTCAGCCTCTGATTCTCCATCTTTTTACCTGTAAAGTGGAGATGATTACAGCACCCACCTACCTCATACTTTTGTTTTACCATGCACAGAGTACTTATTATCTATAGCAACTAGAGTAGTGCACATGGCGTAAGCTTAAACTGGTGACATTATTACCAGATGTAAAATTGTCATAGGCTCAGTCAAAGCCACAATTTGTTTATTGGTAGATTCTTGGTTCCTGTCAAATAGAATCAAATTAGTTTCTTATGTCCTATATTCTCAAAGGCCTGCCCAACGGTAGTTATTTAAGATTTCTCTAAGAGGAAATGTGCTAGCAGGACTGATAATTGAGCTTGCCTAGTGAAGGGTCTGAAGTATAATCAAAAGAGTTCCGTGAGCCTGTTTCCTTATCCCTGCATTCTTAGAGGAAATTGTTACGCTTCATAGAAAGCTCAACAATTAAAAAAAAGAAGTAATGGAGCTTATCGGTCAATAGAAGGCTAAACAAGAATTAAGCAGATTGCTTGTTTGTTTTAACTGTCTCTCAAGGAGACGGTGCCAGTGGCTAAAAACGATGCCACTTATCAATGGGAATAAACATTGAATTTCACCGAAGTTACCGGTAAGGAACTCTTAACATGCATGTGGAAACCGGAGAGTGCACAGCCCTGTGAGGAAAAAAAAAAAAAGGCGGAATCCCATCCTTAGAAATTGCAATCCGTCACATGACAAAGAGGAAGCAGATGACATGAGTGTGATGCGTTCCGTACATTGCCTTGAAGGTCTACAGGGACACGTTGGGTTTAACATGCAAAGCAGTGTTTGAATACCTGTTATCATCCATGAATGTAGTCATGTACTCTAGACTGACAGCCAGGGAGCTGGTGTGTGACCAACCT